TCTCAGTCTGGGGGCAAGGGATGCTCTGTGTTCTTGGTCCTGGGGGGGGGCAACAGTGGGAGGGCTTCTGGAGTTCTGGCCCCACTGCTGGACCTCCTGATGGCACCTGGTATTTTTGGCCCATGTGTGACATAGAGTGTTGGGCTGGAGGGGCCATTGGCCTGATCCAGCATTGGCTTCTCTTATGTTCTTATGAGAGCCACTGCCAGTCCGAGTAGACAGTTCGGACTTTGATAGACCAAGGGTCTGATTCAGTACAAGTTATTTATTCATTCATTTATTTATTTGATTTCTACCCCGCCCTTCCTGCCGTAGCAGGCTCAGGGCGGCTTACACAAATATTACACAGCTAAGACAGAACCAAGTAAAATCATGACAATATAAATATAAAACATTACACAGTGCTAGTGCTAAAAACAGTTCATATACAGCGGCAGGCCTGAACAGCATCCAGCAAGCAGGCAGGCAGTTCCCATTGTGGTCCGGGTTATATCGGCTGTTGATGTAGATGTTAATATTGGGGCCAGGGCCTTGGTTGTATAATATGGCTCCCTAATCGAAGGCCTGGCGGAGGAGCTCCGTCTTGCAAGCCCTGCGGAAATGTGAAAGGTCCCACAGGGCCCTGATGTCTTCCGGGAAGCTCATTCCACCAGTGCATTCATCTGTGATGGTGGCCAGATCATATACAGACTCCACAGAGTGATGGTACTGACAGTGTTCATCATCGCAGCCATGTGATCGTCACTCTCAGGCCACAAATTTAGGTCAAGAAAAGGATGATGATAGGAAGCCTGGTTTTCAAGTTTTTTCTCCGCGATCACAAGGACTAGAAATATGCTTTTTAAACACAAACATGTGTGTGAATATATGGGAAGCTAGATTTTCAGGTTCTCCAATTTGGTATCTGGTTACAAATTCCAGCTGGCTCTGGAAGCCCCAAGTAGATGGAATGTGTTCTGACTGGACTGCATTCTGCCCGTGGAACTGACACTCTTCTGCTCTGTGTTCCAGACATGCTTCATGCAGTGGAGTGAGGGCAGGAATGGATGAGCCAGTGATCAGCTGTTGTAGCTACACCTATTTGGTGTCGTGGTTAAGTGCGCGGACTCTAGTCTGGGAGAACCGGGTTTGATTCCCCCACTTCTCTATTCGCAGCTGCTGGAAGACCTTGGGCAAGCCATAGTTCTATCAGAGCTGTCATTGGAAAAAGAGCAGTTTCTCTCAGAGCTCTCTCAGCCCCACCTACCTCACAGGGTGTCTGTTGTGGGGAGGGGAAGGGAAAGGGGTTTGTAAGCCGCTCTGAGACTTACTGGAGAGCCAGTTTGGTGTAGTGGTTAAGTGCATGGACTCTAATCTGGGAGAACCGGGTTTGGTTCCCCACTCCTCCACTTGCACCTGGCTGGATGACCTTGGGCAAGCCATAGTTCTGATAAGAGCTGTCCTTTAAGAAGAGCAGTTTCTGTCAAGAGCTCCCTCAGCCCCACCTACGTCCCAGGGTGTCTGTTGTGGGGAGGGAAAGGGAAGGGAAAGAAGACTGTGAGCCGCTCCGAGACTCCTTTGGGTAGTGAAGGGTGGGGTATAAATCCAGTTTCTTCTTCTTTCTTATATGCTCAGGGTAATGCTGATCGCCACTTTGGGGTCAGGAAGAATTTCCCCCCGGGCCACATTGGCCCAGGGATCCTGGAGGTTTCTTTGCCTTCCTCTGGGCATACAGCAGGGGTCACCCGGGGGGGCGGGGGGTGTAGCTGTGAATTTCCTGCCTTGTGCAGGGAGTTGGACTAGATGACCCTTGGGGTTCTTTCCAGCTCTGTGTTCCTCTCTCCGCTTTTGCAGGGGTCCAAGAGGCGGTGAAGATCACTCTGGACTGTGCCCAGGCGACCTTTATCTCCTATGACAAGATGGTGATATCGCTGAAAGGAGGGGAGATGTAAGACCTCTGCTCTGGCCGCCATGAGTCCGCTCTCACGTTCCCAAACTTGATTGCCTTTGCAAACATGCGGCTGGAGGTTGGCTGTTCTATTAATACCTGGGAAGCCTCCGTGTTGGATAAGGGCCGCTCCTTACCTTCCTCTGGGGTTTCGGGATGCCAGAGAGGAGTCTGCTCCCTGCTCCCAAGAGGCTTTAAACGTACAGACCTTGAGAACAAAGTCTGAGTCCAGGGGGCACCTTTTTAAGACCCACAAAGTTTAATTCTGGGTATAAGCTTTCATGTGCACGTGGCACTGCTTCAGCTACGTATGTGAAGAAGTGCCACATGCACACGAAAGCTTATACCCAGAATTAAACTTTGTGGGTCTTAAAAAGGTCCAAATGTAAAAGAAAAAACAAGCTGTATGCAAGCGATATACAGAATCAATTCTCAAAACACATGGAAAAAACTTTATAGTGCTCAGGGCTTTTTTTGTAGAAAAAGCCCAGCAGGAACCATTAGCACAATAGGCCACACCCAATAGCAGAAACTCATTAGCATATTAGGCCACACCCACGACAGCACCACTCATTAGCCTATTAGGCCGCACCCACATGTTACCAGAAGTGTGGTCATCCAGCCACACCAACCTTTTGCTTCTTATCCTGTTTACCTTGTTTGTTGTCAAAACCCAGAACTTTTTTTGTAGCAGGAACTTCTTTGCATGTTAGGCCACACACCCCTAATGTAGCCAATCCTAATGAGTTCCTGCTGTTGGGTGTGGCCTATTATGCTAATGAGTTCCTGCTGGGCGTGGCCAACTCAGGAGCCAGCCGGAACTCCATTCCTGTGCGTTCCTGCCCAAAAATAGCCCTGATGGTGCTGATGTCAAACCATGTGTAAATGACAATGATACAGTATTTCACTGCAACTATAGAATATGAGAGTTTTATGAAGTGATATGATCTTCGCTATCATACTTTTTGATTAATGAAACTTACAAGACATCTTAATGTTTCCTGAGGTCCTGTTCAGACGAAGCCAGTCGAAACGAATTTGTATTCCGGAAAACTTCGTCAACCTGCACCTTTTTGGACCTCCTTTCCTTCTTTGTATCATTGTCATTTATACACAGTTTGACATCAGCACTGTAAAGTTTTTTCCATGTGTTTTGAGCATTGATTCTGTATAGCGCCTGCATACAGCTTGTTTTTTCGTTTGCATCTGGAGCTTTGGAGCTGTGATTCTCTTCTTGCATATGGTCTTAAAAAGGCACCATTGGACTCAAACGTTGTTCTGTCGCTTCACCACCAACACAGCTACCCACCTAGACCTTGAGAAGAGCTCCTCTTGGTGCTTCCGTGTCGCGGGGCCTTGGTTCAGCGGCTAGGAGGCAGCCTGGTCCCGTGGCTGGGTTCGAGACTCGGCGTGGCCATTCTTTGTCAGGCCGGCTCCCCCGCTGTGAAGCAGGCAGTTAATGAACAGGGCCAGAATCCTGGGGAGACTGAAGCTGCTTCCGTACAGGGGGCCTGGGTGGGCCCTGCTCAACTTGCAGGGTTAGTGAGCGCTTCACGCAGTGGATGGGAATGCTGGAGGAACTTGGTTGTCTCTACTGCCGCTGCAACTTTCAGCAGAGAATCTCCCCTTCAAGCAGTCGACTTCTGCTTGGCTCCCACTTTGTGGCTGCTGCAAAAAATTCCGTTCCTAATGAGGAAGGAATCCAGTGTTCTGTGAACCTTCCCCGTGAGTGCCGCTTGTAAGAGGAGTGACCTTTTCAGCGTTGACATGGGCAGGGGCTGTCTGCCGAAGCGGGGCCAGGTGGCTTCTTCCGCCTGTCCTCTCCGTTGCCTCTTGGGGAGCTTGATTTGCTGAGCAGCAGAGCAGGAGGAAGCCTTGGGCAGTGCTGGCTGGCAGGGGAAGCTGGCCGTGGCTCGCTCATCCCCCTAACCAGATGGTCCCCCTCCGTGTCTCCTCTTAGCTATGTGCTGACCCTCATCACCGATGGCATGCGAAGCGTCCGGTCCTTCCATTTCGACAAGGCAGCCGCCAGCGTCCTCACCTCTTGCGTAAGCTGCGTCCGGCTCTGGAGGGGTGGGTGGCAGGTCAAGGGGCCGTCTGTGTGGCAGCGGGAACACCAGAGCAGCTTTTGTCTTAATATGTTGCCGAAGGCTTTCACGGATGGAGTTCATTAGTTGTAGATTTCCCGGACTGTCTGGCCATGGCCCTTGCGTTGTAGGACCTGACGTTTCGCCAGCAGCTGTGACTGGCATCATCGGAGGTATGACACAGAAAGAGGGAGTGCTCTCTGTGTCAATATCTTCTCACATTGACACAGAGAGCACTCCATCTTTCTGTGTTATACCTCTGAGGATGCCAGTCACAGCTGCTGGCGAAACGTCAGGTCCTACAATGCCAAGGCCACGGCCAGGCAACCCAGAAAATCTATAACAACTAAAGCTTTTGTCTTGTTGGTCAGGCAGTGGAAGAGAGGACTTTGCCTCCTGTTCTACTTTGAGAGGCACAGAGGTGTGCTCAAGAGAGACGAGATAGCTCTGAAGGAAGGTGACAACCTGGCAGAATGCTGGCATTAAAGTTGTGATCGAGCGATTTGGCTGCTGCAGAAATTAGTTTGCTCTGGAGCCCCATCCTTCCTGAGCGAAGGCAAAAATGTGTGAGCCGGAGGCTAAAAAACTGTGAGCTATCTCACACGAACTCAGCTTAGAGGGAACACTGCTCACAGGACGAGAGTCTCGCAAGAGAAGGGATGGACAGTTTGCAGGCGGGCACCAAATGCCCTCTAAATTAAAAAAAAAAAGTTCTTTCTGACTGGGGCTCAAGGTAGATTACAAAGAGTGAATTGAAACAGTCAACAAGGTGGGATATTCATAGAATCATAGAGTTGGAAGGGGACCTCCAGGGTCATCTACTCCAACCCCCTGAACAGTGCAGGGGATTCACAAATATCCTCCCTCGTGCGCGCACACCCAGTGACCGCTGTTCCTTACCCACAAAATAGCAAAAGCCTTCCAGGATCCCCGGCCAAACTAGCCTGGAGAAAAACTGCTGCTTGACCCCAAAGTGGGGATTGGCATTTCCCTGGGCGTGTAAGAAAGGGCCACTAGAACTAAGCACTGAGGCCACCCTCCCTGCCCCCCCTCTCCTGATCTGCCCGAGTTCACAGAACCCACATTGCTGTCAGATCTGTTTGAAAACTTCCAAAGAAGGAGAGCCCACCACCTCCCAAGGAAGCCTGTTCCACTGAGGAACTGCTCTAACCGTCAGGAAGTTCTTCCTAATGTGTAGCCGGAAAACTCTATAGAGTGTGTAGCAGGATTCTGCTTGCAGCAGGCTATCCACAGGTTGCGCTGGGAGGTTACTGAGCCCAGCTAGGAGCGGCTGCCCCGTTTCACCTCTGGGTACTTCCTGCCGCTTTGACCCTTCTGCACGTTTCTCTCACCTGTTGTCGCCTGACCCTCTTGCCTTCTCCGTCTTGGATCGCAGATGGTCACCATGGAGCCCGGCTACCTCTTCCTGGGATCGCGCCTCGGCAACTCCCTCCTCCTGAAATACACCGAGAAGCTCCAGGAGGCCCCCATGAGCCTCGCCAAGGACTGCCCGGAGAAGCCAGTGAGTTCATCTCCTATGGCAAGAGGCAACGTCTTGGCCACTTCGCCAAGAAGGAGGTTGTGTTGGGTAAAAGAGGCTCTTCTCCTTGTGTAGAAGGAGCTCCTGCCCTAGCAAGGGGTTGTGCCCAGAGGGTCAGGCCCTGACGGCAGCGGAAGTGGCGGCAGGAGAGGGTGGCGCTGTGAGCGTAATGGAAGCGCGTCTAATAATGCAATCCACAATCGGCTAGTGCTGAACTATATACAGTGGTTTTATTTACAATACTATACATACAGTCCCAGTTAGCACTTGTAGACTCCAATTCTTCTGGCAAACTAACAAAGTGCTTCGCAAGGAATCCCATTCATAAGAGTGATGAATTACATACAGAGTGCACAGAATATATACAGAGAAGCACCAATCCCATTGAAGTGCTGACTCACTGTGACTCTAGTGAGGATGATGCAACTTTGATCAAGTGACTTGTCACGTGACACTCCTTCTGTCACCTTCAGATCAAGATGATCTAATAGACTCACATAACCTGGCTGTCATCTTGCCTGCAATACATAACAGTATGCTGACAGGCGCCTTGGGTGGCTCTGCGGGGTGAAGCCCGTTAAGGGTGCAGAGCAGGAGGTGGGGGGGGGCTGAGTGAGGAGGAGGTGTTTGGGGGATTCCGACAGCAAGGGCTGAATGCCTAGGGCAGGGGGGCCCCAGCCTCTTTGAGCCTGATGGCACGTTTGGAACTCTGACGTGTGTGTGTGTGTGGGGGGGGGTGCAGCTACAAAATGGCTGCCGCAAAATGGCTGCCGCAGAAAGAAGCTTCTGGGAAGGGCAGGATATCAATGTGAATGAATAAACAAATGAAGAAGAAGAGATTGGATTTATACCCTTCCCTCAGAGTCTCAGAGCAGCTTACGATCTCCTTTCCCTCCCCCTCCCCACAACAGACACCCTGGGAGGCAGGCGGGGCTGAGAGAGCTCTCCCGAGAACTGCCTGTGAGAGAACAGCTCTGAGAGAACGTGTGACTGACCCAAGGTCACCCCAGCAGCTGCATGTGGAGGAGGCGTGGGGAATCCAACCCGGTTCTCCCAGATTAGAGTCCGCCGCTCTTAACCACGACACCAAAGTGGCTGCTGCCACACCTTCCCTTCAGTCCCACTGTGAAGATCCTTGGCCAGGGGCGTCAGCCGCTGCCAAAGCAGTGTTCTTAAAAATTTGCACAACCAATCAAATGTCCAGTGGCCTATCAGAAGGCTTGCTGGACAAAAGCTCTGCCTGCTTTCTAAAAAGACTTGGCGGGCACAAGGAAAGGTGTTGGTGGGTGCCAAAATGCCCAGAGGCACCACATTGGGGACCCCTGGCCCAGTGAGTTTTCCTCATTCGCCTGCTGCTTCTTTTCCCTTGCAGGAAGAGCCTCCGGTCAAGAAGAAACGGCTGGAGCAGCCAGTGAACTGGGCTGGTAGGTGACTGCTACCAGTGTTCCCTCTAAGCTGAGTTAGTGTGAGCTAGCTCACAGTTTTTTAGCCTCCAGCTCACACATTTTTGTCTTCGCTCAGGAAGGAGGGCTCCAGAGCAAACTAATGTATGCAGCAGCCAAATCGCTCACTCACAACTTTAATGCCAGTAGCTCACAAAGTCGAATTTTTGTTCACAAGACTCCACAGCTTAGAGGGAACATTGAGTGCCTGTGTGTGTGTTTGGGCTGGAGGATGCAGACTGTGTCTCTCGGTTCCAGTGGAGCTGGGCAGGCAGGGCTTCCTTCCCCTAACCAGGACTGTGTGTGTCCTGAGTGACAGGAGAGCCCAGTTTTGTGTTAATGTTGCAATTGTATTGATTATTGTATGGCCGCAGGGGGGAAGTCGGCCCCGCAGGACGAGGTGGACGAGATCGAGGTGTACGGCAGCGAAGCCCAGTCCGGGACTCAACTTGCCACCTACTCGTTTGAGGTACTGCACGACGGTTGCTTCTCCCTGAGGGCTCAACACATCCTTGTGCTCTCCGGCGTTTTCTGGGGGAGGGAAAGATGGGACAAACAGGGAGCTCAGTACCATGGATTGGGTCTCAGTGGCAGAGACTCTGCTTTGCATGCAGAAGGTCCCAGGTTCAATCCCCGGCATTTCCAGTTAAAAACGAACCAGGCAATAGGTGTGAAAGACCCCTCCTTGAGACCCTGGAGGGATGGCTGCGAGTCTGAGTAAGGCAGTACAGACCTTGGTGGACTGATGTTCTGAGTCTGTGTAAGGCAGCTTCATGTGTGTGCATGTGTGATTTGATTCCTTCCCTTTCCTCTGCCAGAACAGATCTCTAAATCCATATCTATAGGGAGGAAGAACCCTACATCTCTGGTCCTTCCTCCCCAGCCTGATTTGTTCCTCTGACAGGAAGTTATCCGTGTCTTTGATCTTTCTCTCTCCCCCCCCAACTGTGACAGGTGTGTGATAGCATCCTGAACATTGGTCCTTGTGCCAATGCCGCCATGGGTGAGCCCGCTTTCCTCTCCGAGGAGGTACGTACTCTGCTCGTTTGGTGTTGTCAGGGTGGGACCTGAGTGGATGCAAGAGAAGGCTTCCTTCTTTCAGCCTCTGCGCACCTGGGCAGGATCGGAGGCCTAGAGAAAAAAGGCAAAGGGCAGGACGGTTGGGGAGGTTCCAGGGCTTTGGGTTTCCCACCCTGGGAAGATTATGGAGTGACCTGGAATGACTTCCCCTGGAAACGAGGGAGGCAGCCTTGCTCCAGGCATTGCTTCTAACTTTGGCTTGCTCTCTTTTCCAGTTCCAGAATAGCCCAGAGCCTGACCTGGAGATTGTGGTGTGCTCTGGCTACGGCAAGAATGGCGCCCTCTCGGTTCTGCAGGTGAGTGAGACCGCTCTTGGAGAGGGAGGGACGTGCAGGAGCACACTGTGCAAAGGGGGCCTGTGTTGGGGAGGCGAGTTCTGGTGCAAGTCAGGTACCAGAGCCAGATCAGTAGTGTGATCTCAGTGTAGTGGGGTTGCCCCAGAGATCATTGGTGCAGCCTGTAAACACCTAGGGACAAAAAGGGGAGGCAGATGGCAGACCCCGGAGTGACCCAGCTTCTTCAAGGGCAGGGCTGTTTGTTCTGAAAAGGGAAAGGAAGCTGTGAGTCCTGTCCCTCCCAGCAGGCAATTCCTTATAAAAGGGGAGGTGGTGGCAGTGAGTTAACCCTAGAGAGAAAGAAGAGCCCCTCCAAACCTTTGTTCCCTGCTTGAAGGAGGGGGGAGAAGGGGGAAAGCTCACCATCCCTTTGTCTAACCCTATTAGCATTTGTATGAAGGTGAGCCTGGAAAGCCATTGATGGACTTCCTCTTTCAGAGAGAAAGGGGAAAAAACCTTCTAAAATGCCAAGTGGAGGCTTGCTTCTTCTCAACCTCCCAGGAGAACATGCTTTTAGTCATACTGGATATAAGAGCTGATGGGACCGGAAGATCCGCCCTTTCAAACAGGATGGCTTTCCATACAGGAAAATCTTATCCATGCTGTAAAAGTGCTACACACGCACGTGGTCCGGAGGAATGCATGACTGTCCTCCTAGCGGTCATCAGTGCAGGAAAATCCACCTCCCATAGCAAGGCCTTCGCTATCCCCATAACAAAGCCTTCGCTTCCCCTTCTCTTTGCAACAGAAAAGCATCCGCCCTCAAGTGGTGACGACCTTCGAGCTCCCAGGCTGTTACGACATGTGGACGGTGATCTCGCCCCAGAAGAAAGAAGAGGCGACCGTAAGTATGAGCACGATTTAGGGATGGGCACGAACCGGAAAAATTAGGTTTGTGTCAGTTCATGGTCTGTGGTCGAACTGAACCACAAACTGAATTGAACCAGGAGATTTGTTTGTGGTTTGTGGTTCATGGCCCCGCAAACCCCATTGAAAGGGACCACAGTCCCTTTCAATGGGGTTTGCAGACAGTCCAAAAAACAGCGGAGCAGCGGAGAGTTCAGCTCTTTTTGCGGCTTTTGCAGAGTACAGTAAGCAGGTGCCGAAAGGGATTCAGAGTCCCTTTCAGCCCCTGCTTTCTGTTCCGTCCATGAACTGCTTTAAAAGTCTGTGGAAGTTCATGATGGTAGACCCATTGTGAACTTTGGTTTGCATATTGCCTCGGGTTCGGTTTGTGCCCATCCCTTAGCACTGTTCCTGAGAGCACAGAAGGGGAGATGGAGCTGGCCTCTTGCGGGAGGTAAGTCGGCCCCACCCTCTTGACTGAAGCAGAGGGTGGGGAAGGGAAACACATCACTTCTCTCTTCCTGTCTGCTCTCTTGGCTGTGTGGCCCCTCATGGCCTGGGAGGCGCTACTGTGGAAGGATAGCTCTCTGAGAAAGAGCTTGATTTGAGTCCAGGGAGCTTTCGAGAGTCAGATCTGACAAAGGGAGAAGAGAGAAGAGATTGGATTTATACCCCGCCCTTCACTACCCAAAGGTGTCTCAGAGCGGCTTACAAACTCCTTCCCCTTCCCCTCCCCACAACAGACATCCCGTGAGGTAGGTGGGGCTGAGAGAGCTCTGACAGAAACTGCTCTTTTTTTCAAGGACAGCTCTTATCAGAACTAGGGCTTGCCCAAGGTCATCCAGCCAGGTGCAAGTGGAGGAGTGGGGAATCAAACTCAGTTCTCCCAGATTAGAGTCCGCACACTTCACCACTACACCAAACTGGAGGAGGAGGAGATTGGATTTATACCCCGCCATTCACTACCCAAAGGTGTCTCAGAGCGGCTTACAAACTCCTTCCCCTTCCCCTCCCCACAACAGACACCCTGTGAGATAGGTGGGGCTTAGAGAGCTCTGACAGAAACTGCTGTTTTTCAAGAGCAGCTCTTATCAGAGCTACGGCTTGCCCAAGGTCATCCAGCATCTGCAGGTGGAGGAGTGGGGAATCAAACCCGGTTCTCCCGGATTAGAGTCCACGCACTTAACCACTACACGAAACTGGCTCTGAAGAAGAGATTGGATTTATACCCGGCCCTTCACTCGGAGTCTCAGAGTGGCTTACAATCTCCTTCCCCTTCCCCTCCCCACAACAGACGCCCTGTGAGTTCGGCGGGGCTGAGAGAGCTCTGACAGAAACGGCTCTTTTTCAAGGACAGCTCTTATCAGAACTACGGCTTGCCCAAGGTTATCCAGCCAGGTGCAAGTGGAGGAGTGGGGAATCAAACCCGGTTCTCCCAGATTAGAGTCCGTGCACTTCACCACCACACCAAAGTGGCTCTCTGGGTTCATGGCGAAGAGCTGTTGGTGATGGCTTCATGGTCTTTCCCCCTCCTGCAGGAGGAAGAGGCTAAAGAGGAAAATGCGGAGAAAGAACCAGCCCTGCCGGAGCCTGAGGATGACGGGAAGCGGCATGGCTTCCTCATTCTCAGCCGCGAGGACTCCACGATGGTGAGTGCCGGGAGTGCTGTCCCTGAGTGGTTCTGGGTGGGCTTGGGGTGGGCTTGCATGGGGCCTTGGCTTAGGGTTGCCAGCCTCCAGGTGGATAAGTAAAAAACTAAATCACCATATATAATTTTACAATTTTTTCCCTGTTTTTGTATTATGCTAAATGTGAATTATTAAAGTATTCTTAGAACGCTTCATTAACACAAATACAACTTAAGCATTAACCATGAAGCCCAACAGCACATTCAGAATGATGTCACTTCTGTAGAAATATTTACAGCCAATGACAAGGTCTTATCTTAGGCGCAAGGTCCTAATCTAATATACTTATTACAAAAGCAGCTAAGACAAACAACGGCATTCTAGTAATCATTCCGCTCACGTGTTCTTCATCAGGTTTGCCTGTTGATTCAACACAGTCTTGAAGTACTAGTCCATATACTATATTGGTGCCACGCTATTGCGTTTAAGTTCTGGTGACTGGGAGTCGCCAGTATTAAACTATGATGTGACTAGGTCTACAGTACATTTCAATTCATCAAGTTGATGTTGTTGTTCAGTCGCACAGTTGAGTCCGACTCTTTGCGACCCCATGGACCAGCTCCCTCCAGGCCCTCCGGTCTTCCGCCATCCTCTGAAGTTTGCTCAACTTCATGTTCGTTGCATCGATGACACTGTCTAACCATCTCATCCTTTGCCGTCCCCGTCTTCTTTGACCTTCAATCTTTCCCAGCATCAGGGTCTTCTCCAGTGAGTACTCCCTTCTCATTTGGTGGCCAAAGTATTTGAGCTTCAGTTTCATTATCTGGCCTTCCAGGGAACAGTCAGAGTTGATTTTTTTGAGGATTGACTGATTTGTTCTTCTTGCAGTCCAGGGGACTCTCAAGAGTCTTCTCCAGCACCATAGTTCAAAAGAATCTATTCTTCGGCGCTCGGCCTTCCTTACAGTCCAACTCTCGCAGCCATACATGACTCCTGGGAATACCATTGCTTTGACCATGTGGACTTTTGTTGGCAGGGTGATGTCTCTACTTTTATCATGCTGTTTAGGTTCGCCATCGCTTTCCTCCCAAGGAGCAGGCGTCTTTTAATTTCATGACTGCTGTCACAGTCTGCGGTGATCTGGGATCCCAGGAACGTGAAGTCTGTCACTACTTCCACGACTTCCCCTTCTATTTGCCAAGGAGTGATGGGGCCGGATGCCATGATCTTAGTTTTTTTGATGTTGAGCTTCAAGCCCACTTTTGCGCTCTCCTCTTTTACCCTGAGCAAGAGGCTCTTGAGGTCCTCTTCACTTTCTGCCATCAGAGTGGTATCGTCTGCATATCTGAGGTTGTTGATCTTTTCCCCAGCAATCTTAATTCCCGCTTGTGATTCATCCAGGCCAGCATTTCGCATGATGTACTCTGCATATATATTAAATAAGCAAGGTGACAATATACATCCTTGTCGTACTCCTTTTCCTATGCTGAACCAATCAGTTGTTCCATATCCGGTTCTAACTGTCGCTTCTTGGCCCTTATACAGGTTTCTCAAGAGACATGTGAGGTGGTCTGGTCCTCCCATCTCTTTAAGGACCTGCCATAGTTTGTTGTGATCCACACAGTCAAAAGCTTTAGCATAGTCAATGAAGCAGAAGTAGATATTTTTCTGGTACTCTCTTGCTTTCTCCATAATCCAGCGAATGTTGGCAATTTGATCTCTAGTTCCTCTACCTCTTCGAAACCCAGCTTGTACTTCTGGCAGTTCTCTATCCACGTACTGTTGAAGCCTAGCTTGTAGGATCTTGAGCATGACCTTGCTAGCGTGTGATATGAGTGCAATTGTGCGATAGTTTGAACATTCCTTGGCGTTGCCCTTCTTTGGGATTGGAATGTATACTGATCTTTTCCAATCCTGTGGCCACTGTTGCGTTTTCCAAATTTGCTGGCAAATGGAGTGCAGCACTTTAACAGCATCATCTTCTAAGACTTTGAATAGCTCAGCTGGAATACCATCACCTCCACTAGCTTTGTTGTTAGCAATGCTTTCTAAGGCCCATTTAACTTCACATTCCAGGATGTCTGGCTCGAGGTCAGTGATTATACCGTCGTGGTTGTCAAGGACATCGAGGTCTTTCTTGTATAGTTCTTCTGTGTATTCTTGCCATCTTTTCCTAATCTCTTCTGCTTCTGTTAGGTCCCTACCGTTTTTGTCCTTTATCATGGCCAGCTTTGCATGGAACGCTCCCTTGATTTCTCCAACTTTCTTGAAGAGATCTCTAGTCCTTCCCATTCTATTGTTTTCTTCTATTACTTTGCACTGTTCATTCAGGAAGGCCTCCTTATCTCTCCTTGCTGTTCTCTGGAAATCTGCGTTCAGTTGGGTAAATCTTTCCTTTTCGCCTTTGCCTTTCGCTTTCCTTCTTTCCTCTGCTATTTGTAAAGCCTCATCAGAAAGCCACTTTGCTTTCTTACATTTCTTTTTCTTTGGGATGGTGGTGATTGCTGCCTCCTGTACAATGTCACGAACCTCCGTCCATAGTTCTTCAGGCACTCTATCTATCAAATCCAGACCCTTGAATCTATTCTTCACCTCTACTGTATATTCATCAGGGATGTGATCTAGGTCAAACCTGAATGGCCTCATGGTTTTCCCGATTTTCTTCAGTTTAAGTCTGAATTTTGCAATGAGTAGCTCATGATCTGAACCACAGTCAGCTCCAGGTCTTGTTTTTACTGACTGGATAGAGCTTCTCCATCTTTGACTGCAAATTATATAGTCAATCTGATTTCGGTGTTGCCCATCTGGTGATGTCCATGTGTAGAGTCGCCTCTTAGGTTGTTGGAAAAGGGTGTTCGCTATGACCAGTGTGTTCTCTTGACAAAACTCTGTTAACCTTTGCCCTGCTTCATTTTGCTTTCCAAGGCCAAACTTGTCTGTTATTCCAGTTACCTTTTCACTTCCTACTTTAGCATTCCAGTCCCCTATGATGATGAGGACATCATTTTTTGGTGTTAGTTCTAGGAGGTGTTGTAGGTCTTCATAGAACCGGTCCACTTCAGCCTCTTCTGCATCAGTGGTTGGGGCATACACTTGAATTACTGTGATGTTGAATGGTTTGCCTTGGAATCGGACAGAAATCATTCTGTCATTTTTGAGATTGTATCCCAGTACTGCCTTTTGCACTCTCTTGTTGACTATAAAGGCCACACCATTTTTTCTACGAGATTCCTGGCCACAGTAGTAGATATAATGGTCTTCTGAGTTAAATTCGCCCATTCCTGTCCACTTTAGTTCACTGATTCCTAGGATATCGATGTTCAGTCTTGCCATCTCATTTTTGACCACGTCAAGCTTACCTTGATTCATAGATCTTACATTCCAGGTTCCTATGTAGTATTGTTCTTTGCAGCATTGGACTTTCCTTTCACCATCAGACACATCCACAACTGAGCGTCCTTTCGGCTTTGGCCCAGCCGCTTCACTCTTTCTGGGGTTACTTGTACTTGTCCTCTGCTCTTCCTCAGTAGCATATTGGACACCTTCCGACCTGAGGGGCTCATCTTCCGGCGTCATATCTTTTAGCCTTTTGATACTGTCCATGGGGTTTTCTTGGCAAAAATACTGGAGTGGGTTGCCATTTCCTTCTCCAGGTGGATCACGCTTGGTCTGAGTTCTCTGCTGTGGCCTGTCCGTCTTGGGTGGCCCTTCACGGCATAGCCCACAGCTTCATTGAACTGCACAAGCCCCCTCGCCACGACAAGGCAGTGATCCATGAGGGGGAAAATTGGCCATAATGAGTACCAAATAACCAAAAGGTTAGATTTATGTTTTAGTCAGAGTCTTGATGTAGAAATCTGAAAACTTACACTACACAGGAACAGGTATATCCTTAAGCCAAATAGATATTTACCAGCTAGCAAATATTCACGGCATAGCCCACAGCTTCACTGAACTACGCAAGCCCCCTCGCCACGACAAGGCAGTGATCCATGAGGGGGATTCATTAAGTAGGAGAGTATAAAACCTTTTTATGAGTTTTTGATCAGTAGTTATCGTAATCTTTTCAATCTCCAATAAGTTTTCATGGAAGCCTGTGTTCTTATCTTTGGCATATCTAGATTCTATTTCGTGGCTCTGCCACCATGATAAGTCCTTTAACGGTTTCAATTCATCTTTGGGATCCAGGATATCCTGATATCTTCTTGGTTTCTCATCCTCATAAACAGGGGTCTTTTTGTAGAAAAAGAGCTGCCGGAGCTCATTAGCATAACTCATTAGCATATGCCACACCCCTGACATCACCGGAAGTGTGTCATAAGGCCACACCCCCTGACATCACCGGAATCTCTTGATGACTGTTTTTTGTTTCTTGTCCTTGGCCCTTTTGGTCTGTTGGTTATGGTCCAGCTCCCCCTCTTCCTGTCACATGACTCTGATATCACATCCCGGGATGCTCCTTTGTGAGCGACTGGCATCAAAGATATGAGTGAGCAATTTGGCTACTGCATTAATTAAGTTTGCTCTGGGGGCATCTTTCCTGAATTAAGACAAAAATGTATGAGCCGGAGGCTAAAAAACTGTTAGCTACCTTGCACTTAGAGGAAACACTAGACAAAACCCAGGTGCCCTCAGGAGGTCCACCAGCAGGGCCAAAACTCCAGGAGCCCACCCACTCTTGCCTTGGCACCAAGAATCACTGCGCCAGACATAAGAATATAAGAGAAGCCATGTTGGATCAGGCCAACGGCCCATCCAGTCCAACACTCTGTGTCACACATCAGCCAAAAATACCAGGTGCCCTCAGGAGGTCTGGCAGTGGGGAACACCAGAAGCCCTCCCAAGCACCAAGAATACAGAGCATCCCTTGCCCCAGACATAAGAACATAAGAGAAGCCAATGCTGGATCAGGCCAATGGCCCATCCAGTCCAACACTCTGTCTGTCACACAGTGGCCAAAAATACCAGGGGCCATCAGGAGGTCCAGCAGTGGGGCCAGGACACCAGAAGCCCTCCCACTGTCCCCCCCCCAAGCACCAAGAAGACAGAGCATCCCTTGCCCCAAACATAAGAACATAACAGAAGCCAATGCTGGATAAGGCCAATGGCCCCTCCAGTCAGGGCAGGCCCCAGGTGTTACTGAGCCCCCGCTCAGCCCCCCCTCGCTTCTCCCCGGCCATCCGTAGCGGAATATGCCCTCCATTCTCCCTCCCTGGAGTTTGTTCCTTCTGCTGGCAGGGAAGCCCGCCTTGAACCCCTGCAGCGGGGCCGCCTCTCCGCA